CACACAAATCAGAAAAAGAAAAGAAAAGAATATGGTATCACTTTCATTTAAGTCTTTGTATCACTTAGTAGTGTCCTTTAAATTTTTTCTTATATAGGTTTTGATAAGGTTATTCTTAAGCATTTTATATTATTCCATGGTCTGTTTGTATATTTACATGAATTTTATGCACTACTACTTTGCTTTCTTCTTTTACTTAAAATTACATTAACAGTAACTGTAGAAAACCTGACTTTGAAATATACTACAAAGCAATAGCAATCCAAACAGCATGGTAGTGGCATAAAACCAGATATGCAGACCAATGGAACAGAAAAGAGAACCCAAAAGTAAATCTACATACTTAACAGCCAACTGATTTTTGACAAGGGCACCAAGAACACACGCTGGGGAAAGGACAGTCTCTTCAATAAATGGTGCTGAGAAAACTGGATATCCATATGCAGAAGAATGAAACTGGATCTCTACTGCTCATCACTTATGAAAATCAACTCAAGATGGATTAAAGAATTAAATGCAAAACCCCAAACTATAAAACTTCTAGAAGAAAACCTAGGGGAACTCTTCCTGACATTGGCCTCAGCAAGAATTTTTTGGATAAGACATCAAAAGCACAGGCAACAAAAGAAAAAGTAGACAAATGGGATTATATCAAACTAAAAAGCTCTGTACAGCAAAGGAAACAATCAAGAGAGCGAAGAGACAACATGCAGAATGAGAGAAAATATTTGCAAACTATGCATCTGACATGGGGTTAATATCCAGAATATACACGGGACTCAACAGCAAAAAACCAAAAACAAATAATCTGATTTTAAAATGGGCAGATCTGAATCAACATTTCCCAAAAGACACACAAACCATCAGGTTAAGTGAAGTAAATCAGGCACAGAACGACAAACACTGCATGACACATGATCTCACTCATATGTGGAATCTAAAAATTTTAAAAGTGGTTCCCACAGAAATACAGAGTAGAATAATGGTTACCAGCAGGTGAGAGGGGAGGGAAGGGGTTGAGACAGAAGAGAAGTGGTGGACTAATGGGTACAAAACTATGCTATCTACCCTAACTGAATCATTGTGCAGTATATGCATGTATTGAAACCACACATTGTACCCCAAAAATGTGTACAAGTAAATGTTAAAATAAAAATAAATAAATAAATAAGACACACAAATGGCCATCAGGTATATGAAAAAAATGTTCAACATCACTAATGATCAGGGAAAAGCAAATCAAAACCACAGTGAGATATCTCATTCCAGTTAGAATGGTTATCAAAAAGACAAAAAGTAACAAATGTTGGCAAGAATGTGGAGAAAGGGGAATTCATACACCACTGGCAGGAATTTAAATTAGTAAAGCCATTATAGACAACAGTATGGGGGTTTCTCAAAAAATTAAAAATAGAACTACCATATGATCCAACGAATCTGCTACTGGCTGTACATCCAAAGGAAGTGAAATCAGCATGTCAAAGAGATATCTGCACTCTTGTGTTTATTGCAGCACTATTTACAATAGCCATAATAAGGAATCAATCTCAGTGTCTATCAACAGATGAATGGATTTTTTAAAATGTAGTGTATATACACAAGGGAATACTCCAGCTATACAAAAAGAATGAAATTCTGTCATTTGTGACAATATGGATGAACTTAGAGGACATTATGTTAAGTGAAATAAGCCAAGTACAGAAGAACAAATTTGCATGATCTCACTCATTATGGAATCTCAAAAAGGTGATCTCATAGAAGTAGAGAATAGAATAGTGGTTACCAGGAGGTGGAGAGGGGAGGAAGGAGGAGCGGATGGGGAAAGGTTGGTCAGCAGATACATAGCTGAGAACAAGTGGGTACTTGTTAGGATGAAGCCCCCCTGAAAATTTTATAAAAGCAAGCTGTGGCCTTGTTTCCTCAAGCTAATGCTGATTTAGGCTCTGGGAACAGGACTCTCCTATTAGGGAATTAGGATTTACAAACAGCAATTGAGGAAGGGAGTAAAAGGAGGCAGCTGAGGAGGATGAGATGTTGCCTAAGTGTTAAGAAGGACCATAAAAGAGTCACCAAGTTCTGGGGATAAAAGACATTATCTCAACATGTAATCTGTGAGATATCTTTACATGACTGTAGAGAAAATACAGGAAAATGGTCAGGGCCTCTCAGATGTTCAGAATCTTGCTGAGCATTTGATGTAAATATGCACGTGCGCCCAGGTGTTCCTTGGTTATTGTCTAATATAATTGCGCATGTGCACCCAGGTGTCCTGGGTTATGGACTTAAGTATAAAGGACGAGTGGCAGTGATCCATGGGCTGTCACCCCTTCCCCTGTCTCCAGGATGCCCAGGCGCAACAGGGAGGCTGCTACTGCTACTGCTGGAGGCTGTTGCTGCCGGTGCCCCCCACCCCTGAATGCCCTGAGAAGGCCGCCACTGCTGCTGCGCTGGATCCGCTGTAAGCTGCTGCTACTCCTGAGCTTTTGTCGTCTGCCAGTGGCTCCCTGGATCTTTCCCAATAACCTAGTGTGGACCTTTATGTGAGGGGTCTGGTGACCCCGCCTGGCATGTGAGGGGTCTGGTGACCCAGTCTGTGCAATGGGTTTGAAGGGTCTGAGCCCTAGCCCTGACGATACAAATGGAAAACTTAGTATAACTCAAATAATGAAACGTTTTGGCTTTAGTTATGAGCTGCTGTAACCCTACAATTGGCGTAGTTGTGTAGCCTTACAATGACAAAACCCAGAACTTTGCCATCCCTTGGAATGTGTTGGTTGGAGGTAAACTGTGAGAAGAAATAGATAAGAGCTGGAAGAGTGATAGTAAGAACCAAAAGTTGCTTCTTTGTTGCCATAGACCCTGCTTCCTTGTCCTTGAGACTCAATGGGAACTGCCAACCAGCTACCCACACAGCCCCTTCCCCAATCCCCAACCCTTTACTTCAAAAAGAAAGCCCCCCATGTGAGCCTTCATTTGAGGAGATTGGGGCTTTTCCTGAGTGTTAGCCATCTGATCCCCATTACTTGGCATTGTAATCGAAGCTTTATTTTTTTCCACTACAATTTGGTGTGTTTTGGCTTTATCTGCACATTGTGTGAATGGGTCTAACTGTAGTTCTATTACAAAGTCACAGTTAGATATGCGGAATAAGTTCTGGTGTTCTTTTGCACAGTAAGGTGACTGTAGGTAACAATGTATGGCATATTTCAAAATAGCTAGAAGAGAGGATTTTAAATGTTCTCACCACAAAGAAAAGTGTTTGAAGTGATGGATATGCTAATTATCCTGATTTGATCATTACACAATGCACACATGTATTGAAACATCACATTGTACCCCACAAATATGTACAAATATGTATCAGTTAAAAACAAAATAAAAATTTAAAATTAACAAATTACATCTGAGAAAGCATCTTCATAGTTAGAAGCTATTCATTTTCATACCTAACAAAATCCACGTGACCTGGGGGAATTTAATTGGTTGGTCTCTGAATATGCTCTCTGAAAGACTTTAAACTTAAATTCTTTAATCTCTGTAAAACATTTTTTTTTTCAGAACATGAAGAAAATACTGCCTAACTCACTTTTCTGCTAATTGCAATGATTTACTCTACTCTTAAAGCTATTTCTTAGTGTAATGATTCTCAAATCAGCTCCCTTAGCCCAATACCCATTCTCTCTGCCCCACCCCCATCCCACAGCACCCTAAAAGAACCCATAAGATTGAATGGCTGTCTCCAGGGCCCCAGTCTGTAAGCATAAGCAGGCAGGCCCCACACCCCAAAGTTCCTTTGAAATCGACTTTATTTTCTAAGAAAACAACATTGATTTTATTTTCTATTCCATAGTAGGTGCTTTTGGTTTTACATAAGTCGTTTTACTTAAAACGCCAACCTTTCTCCCTTCAAATCTTCCTGAAAATTGATGATCCAGGAGGATCCACGCTTGTTACTACTTCAGAGATAAGGCTCAGAAAGCACTTTCCGTTCAGCCTCATCCAGAACAAAAGCCCCCACACCGACCCGGGCAGCCTGCGCCTGCGCACTCCTTGGGCACACCAGCACTCACGGCAGTCTACAGGGCGTGGCCAAGAGCAGGGTTGTCGCTCAGAGAAGCTAAGATGACTTTCAAACGGTCCACCAACTTTCCCTGCTCCGAACTACATTTCCCAGAAGGCTGAGCGGTGTGAATGATCTTCCCATCCGAATTTGCTTTCCTCTTCCTGAAGCTGTGCAGCAGCTAGGGACAGCGGGGCGGGCGGGAAGTAAGCCCACCTCACACGCGCCCGAGTGGCCTTTTTTGGGAGCCATGGCCCGAGGCTGCGTCGGGGATACCTGAGGCCTCCGGGTGAGGTTCGATAAGGGGCGCAGTGCTTTCGGCGGGGCCGCAGCTAAGCACTAACAAGAAGCCTGACAATCAGGAGCCATCTTGCCCGCCCCTGCTCCGTTTCTCACTGCATTTCCCAGGGGGCTCCTCGGCATGACCGTCTTTCTCGCGGGTATTTAGCCTCAAGGTCACGTGCTGGCGGGACACTCGGGGCTTCACTAGCAACACTCGCGAGTTGCGGAGGGTTGTGCTGCTGTGGAAGCTGGGGAGGCCTGAGGTGAGGTGCCGAGGAGAGGGCGGGGCCCGAGCCGGCGCCTTGGCTTTGTGCGGCGGCGGAGGTGATACTGGAATTGTGGGGTTGTATCTGTGTGGTGGCATGTGGCGAATAACCGTGGGATTGTGGCAGGCCAACAATGGGATTGTGTGCAACGTGGGATTGTGTGCAACGATTCCACCGTGGGCAGCGCAGTCTGGGAGCCTGTGACTGCTCCGTGGTGGGTGTGTGTGTGAGAGAAAGATTGGGACCAGCTGCGGCATTGTGTGCGCGAGTGTGAGGAGCTTGTGAATGGTTGCGTGTTATCGAGTTTGTACCGTAGTGGTGTGTGATAGTGTGACCGTGTGCGGCCAGAACAGGTGGGGATACCTGTGAGTTCTGTGTGGTTGTATCTATGTATGCGTCTGTGCTTAGTATGTAATCGTGACTGTGAGCAGGTGCAGGAGCGAGGTGCTTGTGACAGTGCGGTTGTGACTGTGAGTGTCCCTCTGGTAAGTGTACGATTGTGCTTATGTGACCGTTTGAGGCCCAGGGTGTGTAGCCCTGTTGGTTTGGATGTGAGTTTGCTGTACCCGAGTGTCCTCATGGTGGGTGTGCGGGTAGGTTTCTGTGACTGGGTAAGTGTATAAAGTTTTATCACCTCTCTAAGCATTACCACTCTAGTTTTCCCCCGTTTTTTAACCTTTATTTGAATGTCGTCATTTTGTCTTTTATTTGTACAACTTTTGTTTGTGAGAATTATCCACATTAGATATAATAGCAGTTCATTCAATTCCTTTGCTGTATTGTATTCCAGCCTTTGAGGTATATCAAAAGTATTCATCCCTTCTAAATAATGATGGACATTTGATTTATTTCTAGTTTTTGATTTTATAGGCAATGCTGCTACGAACATTCTTTAATATAGTGTACACATGCTTGAAGTTATCTGCCAGCGCAATTGCGGAGTCATAATATCTTCCATTTTATTAAATAGTGCCATAATATATACCATAATGGGTGCACAAATTTATACTTGCACAGCAGCGTTTGGAACATTACTCCATATCCCTACCAAAACATGGTTTTGATAACTTTTATGATATAGCCTACATATAGTAAAGTGCTCAAATCTTAAGTATACAGCTGTGTAATAATCTCCTAGATCAAAATTAAGAACTTTGCCAGGACCCCGGATGTTTCCCTCATGCCCCTTCTCAGTCATTTCTCCCCCGACGTCACTATTCAGAATTCTGTCACCTTTAATTAGTTTTGCCCATTATTGAACTTCATGTTCTTGTATGTTTGGAATTATGTAGCATGCACTCTTTTATGCCTGGCTTCTTTTGTTCCATATTATGTTTGTGAAATTCATCTACGCTGTTCAGTGTAAGTGTACTTAACTCTCATTACATTTGGGAATATATTGCAATGTATTAATTGCTGTCATGGATGTTTGTGTAGTCTCCAGTTTGGGGCTATTACAAATTATGCTGCTGCTATGAACATTCTCCTGTGAATGCTTTTCTCTTGGGTAAATACTTAGGAGTGGAATTGTTAGATCATAGGGTAGGCTTATGTGGTTGTTCCAGTTTATGCTCCATCCAGCAATGTGTGAGAGTTCCAGTTGCTCCACATCCTCTCTCTTATTTGGTATTTCTAGTGTTTTAAGTATTCTGTTGGTTGTGTAGTGGAATTTCATCATAGTTTTAATTTGCATTTCCTTGATGTGTAATGATGGTCAGCACCTTTTCATATGTGCGCTGGCCATTTGTATATCCGCTTTTTCCAAATGTCTATTCAGGCTCCTTTTGCCCACTTTCCACTTTTAAATTCTTTTTCCGTTTTTTAAAATTTTATTTTTATGTTGTGAACACAGTGTAAAGAATTCCCATGTACTCTTCACCCAGGTGCCCACAGTACAAATTATGAAAACCAGGAAATTTACAATGGTACAAGACTTTTAACTAATTTACAGTTATTAAAATTTCCTAATTGTCCTTTTCTTTTCCAGATCCAGTTAATTTATTTGTCTTGTCTTATTAGTCTCCTCTCATCTGAGATTGTTCTTTAGTCCTTTTTATCTTTCACAGCCTTGACACTTTTGAAGAGTACTGGCCCGTTATTTTGTAGAATGTCTTTCAATTTGGGTTTGTTTGATGTTTCCTTATGGTTAAATTTAGACTATGTATTTTTAGCAAGAAAATCACAGAAATGATGTTGTGTCCTTTTCAGTGTGTCATATCAGGAGTTATATGATATTAGTTTATCTCATTACTGGTAAAGTTAACATTGATCACTTGGTTAATGTGGTGTTTGCCAGATTTCTCCTCTGTATTTCTCCTCCTTTTTTTTCCTCTTAATATGTGTCTTGGGAGAAGATACTTTGAGACTGTGCAAGAATCCTGTTTCTCATCATACTTTTCACCCATTAATTTTCATGTCCACTGATAATTCTTGTCTGTAGATATTGTGATATTTGCCTAAAGGTGATTTTATTTTTCCCTCATTCTTTCTACATTTATGAATTTAAATTCTACTGTAAGGCTGTTCCTTCTCTATGTGTTTATTCAATTATTTATTTATGGGCTCATGGATATTTATATTCTAGGAGTTTTAATCCATTATTATCATGATTTGTTTTGTTGCTCAAATTGTCCCACATTTGGTCATTAGGAGCTCCTTAAGCTGGCTCCTGTGTCCTTTCAGCATACCATCACATGCCATCATTTTTTTTTAAAAGCATTTTCTTACTTTCTGGCACCAGAAGATATTCCAGGCTCATCTTGTATTTTCCTTCTTCCAGCTCTGGAATCAGCAATTTCTCCAAGGAGTCCTAGTTTCTTTTACTGAAGAATAGATTTATAAACCAAGACCTGAGCACTTGGTGTATTTATTGCTAGTGGATTGTCATTGCTGTATTCTAGTCAACGGAGAGAGCTAGAAAATATACAAATGTCTATTCATACATTTGTATCTATCTATTTGTTACATATCTATTTATTTTATATATATGTAAAACCACTAGTTCACACGCATACCTTCAATTCCAATCTAATACTACAAGTTTCTGTCAAGAACTGTTAAGTATCTGAGGTTTTACCGTGCTTGTAAGCTAACAAGTTAGCTTGCCAAAGTTTCACAGATGCTGGCAGAAGACATTAGACTTCTGGGTCAGAAGTGAAGGACAGTTTATTGCTCATAGCAATAGTCAGATTATCAACATATTCTTGCACTGGTTTAGTTACACTCATAGGATAATGTAAAATACACAGGTTTTTGTGTGCTCTCTTGACGTTAGGGAACCTGAATTGTTTATAATGGGTAGTAAGCATGCTTGCTTGCCCTTTGCTGTGGAGGGAGACTCTCTCCATTTTCCAAGGCTATTTACTATATAAACATCTTGGGAAAATAGACCAGAAAAAAAAGCACTTAGTATATGAACTGGCAAGATGTGCAGAAAACATGCAAGACCCATGGAGAGTTGTCTCCCATCAAGTTTGGTCATTGCCTTGTTACTCCTTTCTCCAAAGTGAGAAAGCTGCTTCTCAATATCAATAATTTGCTCTATTCTAGAATACATATAAAGTAGTTTCAAAATTGCTAACCCACACCCATGTAAAAAACAAGTTTACTGGGCCAGCCCGTGGCTCACTCGGGAGAGTGCGGTGCTGATAACACCAAGGCCCTGGGTTCGGATCCCACGTAGGGATGGCCGGTTCGCTCACTGGCTGAGCGTGGTGCTGACAACACCAAGTCAAGGGTTAAGATCCCCTTACCAGTCATCTTTTAAAAAAAAAACAAAAAAACAAGTTTACTAACTACAGTTGAGTGTTTGTGTGCAATTCTGTTTTTCTTTAACCTTATGATATATATATATATAGTCAAAAACATTTTTCCAGAGTTACTCAGTTTAGTTCTTTTCTTTGCCACTCCCTTCAATGTAGTTTTGTTACTCTGTTTTCATACATTTAAATTAATATGTTGCATTTTGGGTTTCCCCACATCCTAGTTCATTGTAGCATGCCACAATATTTTGTGTGTGAAAGCCTTAAACTGGTTCCCTTCTACTCCCTGTACATAATCAGCTTCATTAATTTTTGCTCTATCCTTCTTGTATTTTCTTCTGCATAAATGAGCAGTTACATATTTTTTTTTTTCCTTTTTGTCTTTTTTACTGACCAGTAACGGGATCGCAACCCTCAGTGTTGCGCCTGCACCGCGCTCAGCCAGTGAGCGGGAACCGGTCTCCACATGGGATCCGAACCCTCAGCGGGAGCGCCGGTGCACTCCCAAGCGGCGCACTTATCCAGTGCGCCACCGGGCTGGCCCTACATATTTTCTTTTGAATGACATCTTTTTGCATTAAAGGTAGCATGCTCTAGGTACTCTTTTGTACATTGCTGCTTTCACTTAATGATATATCCTGGATATCACTCCACAGCAGTTCAAAGAGATATTCAAACTTCTTTTTTTTTACAGCTACATAAACTGCAGTGTGTAGATTTATCATAGCTTATTCAACCACTCTCCTATGTGTGGATATTTAGGTCATTTATAATATTTTGCTACTAGAAGCAGTGCTGTTGTAATAAATAACCTTGTAGAGTATGTATGTGTTTTTGTATTGCTGGAGGGATATCTTTAAGGTAGATTCCTAGGAGTGGGATTGCTGGATGAAAAGGTAAATGTTATATGGGTTTGATAGGCATTGCCAAATTCCCCCCTAGAACTGTTGTACCAGTTTTCATTCCCACTTGCAGTGTATGAGGATGCCTGTTTCCCTCCCACAGCTTAGCCAACAGAATGTGTTGTCATGCTTTTTAGTTTTCACCAGTGTAATAGATGAGAAATAGTATTCAGTGTTGTTTTTTTATTTCTCAAGTTTTGAGTGTCCTTGAACATTTAAAACTCTTTTTAAAGATTGCCTGTTTTTCTCTTTCCCTATTTTTCTAGCAAGTTTTTAGACCTTTGTCTTTTATGATTAGTGCTTTTTTATATATACCCCAAGATCTTGAAGATATTCTCCTTTGTTTTCTTTTAGAAGGTTTATAATTTCAGCATTCACGTTTAGGTCTGTGATCCATCTTGAATTAATTTTTGTGTATGGTGAGAAGTAGGGGTAAAGGTTAATTTTTTTTCTCCCCAGTCAAGTAGGTAGTTGTTCTAGCACTATTTCTTAAAAAGACCAGCTTTGCCCATTTGAATTACAGGGAGCTTTTATCATAAATCAGGTGACATAATATATATGTGGTTATGTGGCTCTTTTTCTGGATTCTATATTTTGCTTTATTTATTTGTCTTTTTGTCAGTATTCCACTGTCTTGAAATGTGTAATATTAGTCCTCCAACTTTTTTCCTTCTTCTTCAAGACCATCTTGGCTGTTGTAAAAGTTTCTGTATAAATATTAGAATCAACTTGTTAGTTTCTACCCTCCCTCCCAAAAAGAATCCTTGCTGGGATTTTGTTTGAAAATCTATATAATTTGGGGGGACTTGACATCT